GCCTGTGATCCTCCCATCATAGTGGCCTCAGGTAGGTGGACTTCTTACATGATGGCTCTGACTTTTAAATGTGAGTATTCTGGTAAAGAAGCAGAAGCTGCATTGCTGTTATAATCTAGTCTGAGAAATCACATAGCATGACTGCTACCATAATCTATTGGTAGAGGCTTTGCTCAGGTTTAAGGCTGTTCATACTCACCAAGAGATTCCATCTCCCTATGGGAGAAGTGTCACTGAATTTTACGGCTCTTTTCACAAAAAATACCACAGGGTATAAAGATCTAAGGAAAGTGCAGGAGAGTGTCTGGGAATGATGCCTTGCTGTAATTAGACATCTTAGGTTTTTGGTCAGGGAATTCTTCCTTGCCTAACACAAAACACTGAGGCTTAAGTTAACAATGTAGAACATGAACTAGATTTGGTTTTGAACAAGGTTTTCTGATTCCGTTCTGAAAAGAATGCTTAAACTTAACAAAACAAAGCTAAACAAATAAACAAACAAACAAAACAATGCCTTGGTGGCAGCAGCAGCAGCAATATCTGTCCTAGCACCAAACTTCTGAAAGCAATGTTGAAAATTCTGTAACTCACCCAGTGGCTCCCAGGTCACGAAGGCCTAGTGTTACTTGTCAGTGTGGGACAGGGGAACAATAAATGGCTTCTATTCTTTTAGTATTATCTTTTCAAGCTTTTTAAAAAAATCTAAGTACACTTAGTAGAATTAAATTTGGGTCTTGCAGAAAGCCTCAGTTTAGTTTTCTATTAAAAAATAAGTTTCCACAAGTAGGTATAATTTATTTATTTTCTTCATTTATTGCAGCTTAAATTATTCAGGGGCTGTGTTTTGGTGCTTAATTGGGCAAACCATTAATGACCCTGGTGAAAATGAGAGGGACTGATTGTGCTTATGAGAGACCTGTTCCTGTTAGGCTCTTTTTTGTGGAATGGAGGAGTTATTTATTTATTAAAAACTATTGACCCAGATAAATTGCTTGAGATTCATTATTACCTTGCAGGTAGAGACCTGAATTTGGGGCTGACAGTGACCTTACATCATCCGGCTCACCAGTTTTTGAACAGGCCTTTAAACGAACATTCTATAAGAGTCAAGAATAAGGAGTGCAAATTTAACAAATTTAGAAATTTGTGTCTCCATTTTTGTAACTATCAAATACAAATTTGATAATTAGCTACTTAAATGGTCATTATTCAGAAGCAATGAAGGATAAATTTTTTTAAAAAAATTTATTGTTTATTTATCTTCCATGCCTCTCCCCAAACAATCCTATGTGGGGCAAAAATGAAATTTGGCAGAGGTGAATTGATATTCTGCACAATTATGTGAATGTGGATTAGTTACCCAAACTTTCTGAGCCCGTAATTTGATTATAATAAAGTAGGGCAAATCACACCTTTTGTTGAAAGGATGAAAAGAGGCATGGAATATACAACCTCCAAAGCCAATGTGTGAGTGGAGATTCATTAACTTCTAGGTGCTTGATCTGATTTTTTGCATCTGCAGTGGCCTGGCAGACAATGCAGAAGTGCTCCACACAAATGGCGTGGACTTGAAGCTCTTGTGGCTTGAGTATCTCTAATGCTGAACTTCATTGCTTTCCCTCTAAGCAAGGTCATTGTCACCTTTTCCCCAAGTGAACCAATTCAGGGTTGTGATTGGAATTTCACACTTGAGAAGTAGGAATAAGAAGAAGACAAGGCCGGGGATTTAGCTCAGTGGTTTCGTCACCGGCTGCACAAGTGCAAGGACCTGAGTTCGATCTCTGGTACCAAAAAAAAAAAAAAAAAAGAAGACATTTTTACATTTTTTACATTTATTGAACATTGGCTATATACAACATACTGAGTGTTTCATCCATATTTTCTAATTTGCTTCTTGTAATGACCCTGATATATCAGATGTCACACTGCTTAATCAATTCCCTCTGTTACGGTTTAGGTCTGGTTGTCCCCCCAAAACTTAAAGTATTTGGAAGGTGATTGGATCATGGGGCATTATACTCAGCAGCGGATTAGTCCACTGATGAATTCTTAGCTTACTTGCAGATAGGAGGTTATTTATTTATTAGAGGCAGGTTATTTATTGGTTAGGAGGTTATGTATTGGTCAGAGGCAGGTCAATGGGGGCTTGACCTAGAAGTGCATATCTCCCTTCCTGGCTCTTCCTTTCTCTTCTGCTTCCTGACTTCCATGACACAAGCAATCTTCCTCTGCCCAGGCCCTTCTACCATGACATTTCTGCCTTGGAGCTGGCCAACCACATAAAGATTGAGCCCTTTACAACTGTGAGCCAAAATTATTCTCTCCTCCTTAAAGTTGTAGGTGTCCTCCTTTAAGTTAAGGTTCGGGTGATGAGAAAGTGACTGAGACACCCCCCAAATATAGTGCCTTAATGCAACAACCATTTAGTATTTATCTTGAGTCAAATGAGCAATTCTGAGGTGGGCCAGGCTTGGCTGATCTTGGCTGGGTGGGCTTGCTCATGTATCTGTTGCCCACTAGTGGGTCAGTTGGTACTGACCAATTTAAAGTGGCCATGGCCAAATGGGCCATCTCAGCTCTCCTTCATGTGGTCTCTTACCTTCCTGCAGGTTCAGCCTGGGTTTGTTCTCATGGCAGTGGCATGCAAAAGAAAGAGAAAACATGCATTCTACTGTACCACTGGCCAAAGTAAATCACACAGCCAAGTTCTAAGTTGGGGTGGGAGGGCACCTCCATAGTAAATAGATTCAGGGAGGCATAACAAATAGTGTCATTAGTGCACTTGATCTACCTCGATATGCATTGTTCTTAACCTCATCTGTAGAGGAAAAGATGGAGGCTGACAACTTTCTGCCTGTTGAACACAGGTCTGCCCCCTGGTGTTTTTCTCTGCTGTGTTCATTTCTGGTGTTCTACTACTTGAAACTATTTTCCATTTAGCTCTATTTTCCCCCTTCTCACTCTTTGGTCTGAATTGAAATTTCATGTAAAATGTTTGCCCCAGTTTAATGACATCAGGGATAGTACAGACAAGTCAGTAAGGTAGGTCTACTTATTAGAGAAAATCAAGGGGGAGCTGATAAGGAATTAGATGAATGTAAATGGAAGCAAATGAATCAAATTTATGATCCTTCTCCATTTACTGGCTTCCCTGATTTTGCCTGGGTCAGGTTCTACCTCTTCATGGCGCCCTTTCTGGATAATGGTAACAAAATCCAAGAAAGGCAAGGTCTCCGTGTTGGCCTGGGGCACTTGCTAGCTCTTTGACCTTGGGCAAAGAAGTAGCTTAACATCCTTGAGCCTCCGTGTCCTCATGTGTGAGACAAGAATATAGCACAGATGTTGAATTGTAAGTTAAAGGAAAAGTGAGGTGATGAATCTTTCCTGGTCATGCAGCCATTGTGATTTGTGGTTGTCCTTAAGCACCCGTTGGTGGCTGAAATGCTGAAGTTTGCTTTTGTAACTGCACGCTCTGGGTGTGCTTCCAGAGTGGTACAGGAGGCTGAGCAGCCCCAGGGCTGTTAATAGATTTTATGGTTTTGTTGAGTACCCCACAGTATACTTATTACCTATATGATGCTGTTGAGTCACTGTTGCAATGCATACATTTTGTTAATTGATTTGTATACACTGGCATCTAGCAACATAAAGAACATGCAGGACCATTACATTTACAAGGGATTGTAATTGCTTTTACAGCCCTCTCTTGCTTCTTAGAGGGAGAACACAGACTTTGAGTTGACTGTTTCCATTGCCTACTAATCTAATTCTTACTGGCAGGACAAGACAACCCTCTTAGGCGCTTAGGAAACACTTTGAGTCAATGCAAAATAGATGAATAAATAAATTTTATTTGTTTCTATATTTCCCCATTTACCTCATTTCCAAAGTAACTTCTTATGAAACTTGATATGTCATTGGTTCTACATATATGTAAATATGGTCAAGGATTTATTCTGAGTAGCTTTGTGATCTTTTTGTGACTGGGGGTGGTTGAGGATGCCAAGATGTGCCTGGTCCCCGCACTCAGAGATCTGACAATACTGTCTGGCATAAGATTTTAGGAGGCCCAACATTAAGTGTCCTGCTCTTGGAGATGCAGTGACAACAGAAAGATGCTGACTTCTTGCAGGGAAGTTTAAATGTGGTCCCAACTGAGACCCAAATTTACCTTTTCTGATTCAGCGGGTCTATCAACCCCTGAGAATCCCTGCTGCCCTGCTTCTTCGAGATGGTGCAGAGCCTGGCCTCTGTCAACCAGGTCCAAATCGCTGTTCCCTGCGCGACAACTCCTAGCAGTTCCAGCACTGGTGTGCGCCTGGCGCCCTCCCCAGACCAGGAGGCAGAGAGCGTCCACTGACCTAGCCAAGGGTAGGACCCACAGCAAAGCCCGCCCGTCCCTTCGCCCGGATCTCAATTCAAAGGGCAGGCAGAGCAGGGTCCGGTCCCCTTTCCCCCCTAGACGACCCTCAGGCCCCGGGCGATCACTTTCTAGAGCAGCCCGTCATCCTTGCAGCAGCTGTTAGGAGAGCTGGTGAGGGGCTCCAGGGCCAGAGGGCTCCCTGAAGCCACCCACGAGACTCCTTTGGGAGCTAGCTCCCCCGACTGAGGCAGGAGGACTGGGTAGTGCTCGGCGTGGTGGGTGGGGTGAGGAAAGTTGGGGGCTTGAGTCGCCGGGCACGAAGCGCGGAGCCCGGCGCCGTGTCCGCGTCTCATGAATATGCACGAGCCACCTCCCTCCCTTCGTGACGTCAAGGACCGTCTCGGGGTGAGCGCCGGAGCCGCTCTGGGTCCGCGCCAGTGAGCGCGGCTGCTGCTGGCGAGCGCGCGGCGCGGCAGAGGGCACTGGAGGCCGAGCGTGGCGGCGGCGGCGGCGGCGAGGGCACCGAGGCGCACCCGGCGGCGCCGAAAGGGGCCCGTGGCTCGGGGACACCGGGAGGCGAGAGCCGGCGCGGGAAGTAGGCGGCGGCGGCAGCTCGAAGGCGGCTTCGGCAGCGAGGATGCTGCCCGGGAGGCTGTGCTGGGTGCCGCTACTGCTGGCGCTGGCCGTGGGGAGCGGCGACGGCAGCGGGGACAGCCGCGGGGACAGCCGGCGGCGCCGCCTCCTTGCGGCCAAAGGTGGGTGCTGGGGAAGTTTCCTCCGCTCGCAGGAGGCAGGCGGGGCGGCGAGAGGGTGCGGACGGGTGAGATCCAGGCTCCGGCTGGAACTGCCCGCCCTCCCTCACCGCAGCTGCTCTGGCCTCTGTGCGCCCACGGATCCCCAACTCAGCGCTCCGTGCTGCAGGCCCAGCCCCTGGGTGGGGTCCAGGGACTGAGGAGAAAGCGAGGTCTGGGGAGTCCAGACAACTTTGGGGGCGGTCTGTGCCGTGTCAAGGATTGCGTCCCAGGGGCAGCGGGAGCGGGGCGCTGGCGTAGCCGGGGGGAGAAAGAGCCTGTGTCTCTCGTGCCCGGGGGAAGGCTCAACACAGTATCTCCGGAGCGAGCCGAGCTGTGGCTGTTCTCCCAGGTCGAAGAAGGAATGGAAACTTGCAGGCTCCAGGGAAGCGCCGCTTAGCACTCGGTTGGCTCCCAGAGGACAGCTCTGGCTCCCCTGGGAACGCCCCCCCCCCCCCCCCCGTGGGCAGCAGTCTGGACCAAGTGCGCGATATGATGCTCCCCACTGCCTCTCCAACTCCGCTGAGGCTCCTGAGGTCCGAGGCACAGAACCTGACACCACTCCCTCGTTCACTCCGTGGGTTTGAAGATCTAGACCTCCCCGCCCTTCTACCCAGAAAAAAAGCTAGATCCCAAAGAACGCCCGGGGCTGTCAGGCTGGCTTAGAAGCTGGAGATCCCCGGACTTTGACAGCTGCCTTGGAGCGCCGGGAGGAGCGCTGGGATGAGGGTGCCTGGAGGGCGGGTCTGAGACAAATCACGTGCTAGCTGGGGATGAGGAGGCTTGGGGAGGCAGGCCTGGGTGAGGGTGGTGGTGACGGTGGGCGCAGGGGCGACTGTAGCAGATCCAAGCTGGAGCGCTCAGCCTAGAGATAACTTGTTGATTCTCTGCGCTGTTGACAAGAAGGGCGTGCGTTTGGTTTGTGGGCTGTAGCCAGATCTGCACGGTGACAATAAGGGTGGTCCTTGGAACCTTGGCTGGAGAGCATCTGAGAGCGAGGGGTTTGCGCCTGTGGGAAAACAGCTGCCTATTAGCGCGACCTAATTCAGAGGCTGGCTTTGAACTACGGTTTACCGGTAGCTCAGGCAAGGGTATGCAGACCAGGTGGAGTTACCCCTGGTGGGTGGAGAGATCCAGAGGCGGACAGTTGCCTAGTCTGGGCTTTAGGAACTACCTCTTCTGTAATTTGGGAGTGATAAGAATAGAGGAGTTTCTGTTTGCAATATCCGCATATATATTATTAGTGACATAATTTTCAAGACTTTATAAGCAAGCATCCTGTTTCGTTCCAGCCTTTTCCTCCTGGTTGACAGGCATTTTCTTTTCTTCTTAGTTTTTGAAAGACAACGGAAAAACTCATTATGAAAATATCTTAAGATTGGTGTGGTAAAGGAGTCGCTGATACAAAGGGACCAATCTGAGAGGCTGTTTTGGTGAAAATAGAATAAAATACAATGAGCTTCCAAACCTTTTACCCTCCTTCTCTAATGAAAACACTTTGTAAAGCAGCCAAATTACATGGGGGAGGGGGTGCGATTTTCCATCACTTTGTAGCAGAGCAAATAGCATATTTATAAGCAGATTCTTCAAAGGAGAGAGAGAAAGAGAGAGAGAGAGAGTGAGAGAGCGAGCGCTTGCAGCAGGTGAAGGCCAGGGGAGAAGTCTTTGGGGAAGAAGACCCTGTGTGCAGGCCACATTGCTGAGCTCTTAGGTCAGAAGGGAAAGGTGAAAGATGAAAGAAAGAGAACGTTGAAAAAAGAAAAAACTCCAGGCTCTCAATGATGCATTTTTTTGTGAATGATTATGTACATTTTAATTAACATCTTTCATCTTTCTCTCTTAGAACGTATCAACTTCCTGGTTAAAAACCAGCCATTTGTCTTTCCAGTGTAAAAAGTTCACTGACTCTGCGGAGTGAGAGTTCAGTCTGAATTCCTCCTGTTCGCTCTCTTCTTCCCCCTTCCAACCACTGGGAGGCTGCAAAGAGCATCTTTTGCTGCTTTTTAAAAAGATAAATGCATGTTTGATCACCACAGAGACATTTTATTATTATACTTTAGTTAGTATTTACAGGACTGACTTTATTAAAATGCAGTTGAATTTTACATTTCTAAATCATACAATCTCTTAAGAACACTTGAGATAATAAAGCTATATGCTTTTGATATAATGCATCCTGCCTCCAACTTTGTTATTTTTAAGGTTCATATCATTAGTCCCATCACACACAAACACACACACACACACCCCTCAGGAAAGCATGTGAAGTAGATTGAATAAAAATAGTTTTTTTCCTTCTATATGCTTCTGTATCCCTATAGAAGAAAATTGGGAGACATGGCACCAAGCTGGTTGGCAGACTTGAATGTGTCCCCTGGAGAGCTCTTTCAAGGTGTATGCTCCCAGCTTTGGGCTGGCATAAGATGTCATGTTTGTGGTTCACAGCATCCTCTGTCTTTATGTTTCTTGATTCTTGCTATAGGAGATCCAGTAGCTAATCTCAGACAACTGTTTGGAGTTTTCATACGATCGGTTCATTTTCCCTGCAAACATATTGCCAATTTCAGAAATAATATCCTGGACAGGTAGTTATTACCCTTTCTCTTCACCCCTTGTATCTGGGCTATTCAAAAAAGACAAATACCTCATGAATTCCTTGAACAGATCAGATTACATGCATGTGCTCTATGAACAAAGCTGGGATGGCAGTTTGGACCCAAGAAGTCTCTGGGGCTTAGAAAGATATGTCTTATTCAAGATAAAGAAAAACATGCAATCTAGGCAAGTACCTGAAGATTTGTGCAAAATTTGCCAGAATAGCAGTGGTCTCACGATCTCAAGGACCTGGTACACGATGACTTTTCAGTTCTCAATTTTCAGGCCTAGGGGTTGTTTAGGACAATCCTTTAGAGCAGACCATCAATTATTGTGATACTTACCTGTGTGCCCAGAGCCTGGCCTGGTTCTCTGGAAGCTTCTTGAGCAGACTGCAGAAGACATCCTCTGGCCCCTTCCATCCTTGTTCTTCTTCAGTGACCTTTTGATCAAGTTGGAGAGAAAATTTTAAGTGGAAATTTTAAGAGAATGACAGCAGACAGAATTTGTCCAAAGTAGAATACTAAGTGATAGTGACACAGGCAAGGGAGATGGGCTGGGGAGAATAAGTTCACAAAAGCAGCTTTTGGTAATAGGGAGAAGCGAGCACAGATTAGAAGGGTAACAACAACAATAGTGCAGTTGCAGTTACTGCTATGTGTGGAACCCTTCCTTAGAGTGTAACAAGAACCATGCTTCTCCCGTTGCATGGGATTTCATTTCTCTCACTCTTACAACACACGCAGAGCCTTTAATTGATAGCCCCTTTCATATGCGAAGAAACAGAATCTGAGAGTGAGTACATGACCTCCCAAGAGCTTCAGCTAGAGCATGCAGCACTGTGGTGAGAATAAGGACCACCATGCCTGTGTCCCCTGACTTGTTTATTGGATATTCTGTCCCTTTGGCTTGAAAGCAGATCTGAGGATCCCAGAGAAGCTGAGCTGTACCTCCAAGTGACCCAGGCGCCCCTGTGGTCCTCCCCACAGCAGCATGAGGGTCCAGGCTGTTATGTATAAAGGGCATGGAGGTCAAGTGAGGGAGGAAGGTCTTGCTTTCATCTACAGAACCAGTGTTCTTGCTCAGAGCAGCAGCTTCATCCTCCCTCCCACACATTAAAAAATCGTCCTTGAATATTCCAGATTTCACATTGCAGAATTTCTGGTAGAGCCATAGGTGGAATGGAATTGTGGTGAATGTGCTTAATTGTCTTGGCCAAATAGCACACGTCTCCTAGGGGTATGGCAGAGTTATTTCTCTAGCTGAAATGCAAATGTCAAGAATCCCTCCGCGATGGTATTCGGTATGCATCAAAGGCTGCACTCTGACCTGTAGTCACCCTCAATCACCTGTGATTTCTGGACTAACCCTTTCTCTGCCCTGGGCCCCAGGTTCTGATTAGAAGATCATCTGTCTCTGCTTAATTCCCATTGTAACTCAAGATGTGGTCAGACTTGGACATGGCTTTTCCCCGGGAACCTTCTGGGCTGGTCAATGCCAGATGACAGTGCCTCTCCCCGTGGCATATGTGTGTTTCCTTGCCTGACTCCAGGGCTGGTCTGTGGCCCTGAGAGCTGGAGCTACACTATGGCTGTGCTCTATCTAAGGGCCTGGCTGTGAGATATGAGCTGAGCCATCAATAGTATTTGCTCAGTGAATGCATTTCTTGACCTAGATACTTTAGATTTTTCTGCTGTGCAGTATGAAGCAAAGTTTGGGCTTAGTTGTCAGAGAAACTTGGGTTCCAATCCTAACTCTATCACTTCAACACATGATCTGGTATAAGTTTAACTATTTGAGTCTCAATTTCCTTGTGTATAAAATGGGGATATGGAGATCTACCTTGCAAGTTATGTTGTCATGATAGTACTTAGAAACACCTAGCTTAGTTTGTGGTATGTGAAAGTCTCTAACTATATAACAACTGTAATTGTTAACCACGTAACATTTGATTCCACTGTCTTGAGATTTGTTGAACTTTCTTTTTTTGGCAATTCAATAGCTTTGCACATATCTTTCTTAGCTCAAACTCTTTTCTCTTTGTTTCTCTGTCTCTCGATGTTTCCCCCTCTTTCTCTGTGTATGTCTGGAAGTATCACTTATAAATTCACATGCACACACATATTTGGTTTAAATTGTTTATGAAAACATCTGCTTTTTTCCACTGGCCTGTGAATGCCTTTGAAGCCAAGGTTGCCATCTTAGCTATCTCAAATGGAACTTAATGCAGGCCCAGCTCAGAGAAAGGGTCAGCAGTGTTAGCTATATAAATAAATAAACCAACAAACAACCATGTCTCCATGTGGCAGCACCAGAGGTGTGGGAGGTTCTGGATTCTGGAGGAGTGGGTATAGAGATTGCCTGCCCCG